CTGGGGGGGCCTGCCACATCTGTGGGATGTTGCAGGCTGCAGTCTTCTGCTGCATTTGGAAGATCCTTGTGCTTAGCAACAGCTCTGTTACCACTCCAAATACCTGGTGTGATCAAGCCCAAAGTGCTTGTAACTGGCCAGGAATGTGGACAATGGAAGACACTGCATTACCTGTGGTAGTGGCTGTCGTCTCAGTAGACTCAGCCTGCCATTTCTGTCCGGCTGATGAGCAGGCAAAATAAAGATGATGATGATGATGATGATGATGATGATGATGTCACTTATTAGCAGATAGTAGTCTCCATGAGGCTGTGGAGGGAAGAGAATCCACGGGAGTGGAAGGAACTCAGCCTTCAGTAAAAAAACCAAACAAAAATCAGAACTGATTTATCACTTAATTGTAATATATCATTTCTTGCCGAAAGACCAGTGATTCAGTAAAGTCAGTAAAGCATTTGACACCGTCTCCCACAGCATCCTTGTAGAAAAGTTGATCAGGTATGGGTTTGGTGATCAGGAAGTGAGGTGGATTAGGAACTGGTTGAAAGGAAGGAGTCAGAGAGTTGTAGTCAATGGGGTAGAATCTGGTTGGAGGTGTGTTACTAGTGGAGTCCCACAAGGGTCGGTGCTGGGACCGGTGTTGTTCAACATCTTCATCAACGACCTGGATGAGGGTATAGAATGTACCCTCAGCAAGTTTGCTGATGACACTAAGCTGGGAGGAGTGGCTGACACACCAGAAGGCTGTGCTGCCATTCAGAGAGACTTAGATAGGTTGGAGAGTTGGGCGGGGAGAAACATGATGAAATTCAACAAGGGGAAGTGCAGAGTTTTACATTTGGGGAAGAACAACACCATGTCCCAGTACAGGTTGGGGGCTGAACTGCTGGAGAGTAGTGTAGGTGAAAGAGACCTGGGGGTCCTGGTAGACAGGAGGATGACCATGAGCGAGCAATGTGCCCTTGTGGCCAAGAAGGCCAATGGCATCCTGGGGTGCATTAGAAAGGGTGTGGTTAGTAGGTCAAGAGAGGTTCTCCTCCCCCTCTATTCTGCATTGGTGAGGCCACATCTGGAGTATTGTGTCCAGTTCTGGGCCCCTCAGTTCAAAAAGGACAGGGAACTGCTCGAAAGAGTCCAGCGCAGAGCTACGAAGATGATTAGGGGAGTGGAACATCTCCCTTATGAGGAAAGGCTGAGGGAGCTGGGTCTCTTTAGCTTGGAGAAAAGGAGACTGAGGGGTGACCTCATCAATGTTTACAAATATGTAAGGGGTGAGTGTCAGGGGGACGGAGTTAGGCTTTTCTCGGTGATGACCAGTGATAGGACAAGGGGTAATGGGTGTAAATTGGAGCATAGGAGGTTCAAGGTGAATATCCGAAAAAATTTTTTTACTGTGAGAGTGACAGAGCACTGGAACAGACTGCCCAGGGAGGTTGTGGAGTCTCCCTCACTGGAGACATTCAAAACCTGGATATCCGAGTTCCTGTGTGATGTACTCTAGGTGACCCTGCTCTGGCAGGGGGGTTGGACTAGATGATCTCTTGAGGTCCCTTCCAGCCCCTAAGATTCTATGATTCTATGATTCTATGATTCCCTTAATATGTTGTTGTCTGTTTCTGTTTTACTATATGCCCTTAAAAGCAATGTTATTGCTAGTTAGGAATCACTGGTCTCTTTCTGTAGAAACATCTAAAAATTTCATCCCAAGCTGTCACATTGACTTTTTTAGCCAATAGCTGAGTTTGTGTAGCAAAGCCATTCTCCCCAAACTGTGTTTTGTATCCCAAAGGGTATCCCTGTCATGAATGTTCTGGGAGTGATGCAGCAGTCTTCTGATAGAGGAAAAACCAGTAATTTATTTTGCAGTTCTGTCACCGGCTTTAGGCAAGGTCTCTGAAGTGACTTCTGCACTGGCCAGGAGGCATTGGTAGATGAACATGAATGTACTGTGGAGGTTGTGATTCTTGGTGCCAACTGGAACTGTCAGCCTGGCAGATTCAGTTTGTAGCCAAGCAGGGCGGACTTTTTCTGCTGACTTTTCCAGTGTCGGCAGTGATTGGTACCTGCTGGCTTAACAATGGAAAAGGAAGCTTTTTTCTGTAAATCAGAGGGATATTTTTACCAATGTGATCAGGTGATAAAATTTCCTTTTCTCCTAGTAGACCTTTTTCTTGTGTTTGTTAGCTGAAGCAACATAAGGCAGCTTTGGGACATTATTTTTTTATATGGCAAATTGACAGCTCACCTGATACTGCAGAATGGGGGAGCTTATTGGAGTCCCTAATAGCAATAAGTAGATTGATGTTTCTAAGGGCAGATGTCAGTACCTGATAGCCTTATCTTTATTAGCATAGGTGCAGATAGCACAAGGGGTTCGTAAACTTTCTAATAGGAAAGACCAGAGGAACTTGGAGGTCCTTTTAGCTGGTACTTCTTGCTTTGTTTTCAGAGTGTCATTTGTCTTTTGGGTAGTCTCTCTGCTAATTGTCTTCTCCAGTAAAACACTTAGTGGCTTTTAAATAACTGGCTGTTGAGGTGCAAAGAACCTTAAGAGAAGTGTCACAGACTGGAGTGAGAGCACTGTAATCCCTCAGCCCTTAACTCTCAGATCCAGGGAATGAATAACCAATGTATATATAGCTCTGCTGGTTCAGCTCAAACACTCACATCCCTAAATAAATTATGTCCCCTCTTTATATTGAGAATGCTGAACCATCCACTCTTGCTTTGCTATGCAGCAGTTTGGCTATTTATACTCATAATAATCATTGCAGTGTCCTAATGTCCAACTACCAGTCTGCAACCAGGAGCCATTTGTAATACTGCTTGAACCAACACAGGACAGTCCCTGCTTCAGAGAATAAATGCTCAAGCAATTTGAGGGACAAAAGTCTATTTTTAATACTGGCTTAAGTTTCATAGAAGACATGGCAAAGAGATTTATGTACTTAACTCACAACTGCTATTTAAAATTTAGTGTTGATATTTTGGTGTTAAAGCAGTGAGTGAGTCTGTCAAAGGTTAGTATTAGTATTTCACAGCAGCAGCTTCTTTTTCCTCCTCCTGCTTCCCCAATCTGATTTGGCTGCAAAGAACCCAGTCTTAGGTTGCCTTTCATGTTTTGTTAACTTGTGTTGAAGAGGACAACCTTCATGCTCTTGAAGTATTTTATTATAGAGCTGTCAACAGCAGTTAAAAGGGTTGCTTCTGTCTGCAACAGATGAGAGGGTTTCTCTTATTTTTTTAATGGAGAAGTAGCTCTTACACGTCTTAATGCTAAAAGCATAAGAGCATCTGTGCTTATAGCATGGAGCCAGCAGTTAAGTATCAGTTATGGGTGAGAGAACAAAGCGTATGGAGTAATGAGGCAGCTTAGATTCCACAGGAGCTGTTGTATGTCTTCTGTACAGTATGTGCACAGTGCTATTAGAAAACCTGTTCCCATGGACCACAGTACCAATTGTGTGTGAGTCCTTGGTGGCTTGACACTGTCAAAGTGCGGAATGTGGACTGAAGGGTCAGAGACTGATGTGAACTGGACAGCAAGGCTGTTGATGCATTCAGAATCAGATGAGTTGAAACTAAGGAGAGCATGAGCCAGCAGTGTTACAGGAAGTTTTCCAACAACAGGAGGATACAAACCACATGCAGGATTCTGCCTGTGTTGGTTCTGTGGGTTGATGGAGCTGCCAGACAATCTGGCTTTTCAGCCTTGTGCTTAAAACTCAGTTGTTGATTTGCTTGGTTGGTCTTTTTTTGTTTGGTTGGTTTTTGTGGGGTTTTTTGATGGTGTTGTGGTTTGGTTTATTTTTTTTGTTGTTGCTTCCTTGTTTCTTCTCCTCTAGTGAGATAGGCTCCTAGTGGCAATTTCTACCATTTGTATAAGCTTTAGTTGTACAAATTTTAATTTACCTGTATAACCTATATAAGTCAGTGTACAGCAGACTGTATATGGGAAACGTTTATGCCCCTACCTGCTGTGCTGCTTATAGCACCTGCTTGTGTGGTACAAAACCCAGGTAGCAGATGAGAAGAAATTTTGAGGTATGACAGTAAGGGTGGAAATCCTCTACTCTGAGCTAAGGTTTTTGCTGACGGATGTGGTACTATGTGTGAAGGCAGTGGCTTTCTTGGAGCTAAAGAATACTCCAAGGAGATTCCAGTGTTGCCTCTGTGTTATTTGTGTTGGCTCAGCCCCTAGTACTCTGACAGGCAGAGTTGGTCCTCAGCAACCTCCTGCATCTTTTGGCTGATGAGTAATGATGGGCAGAAAACCAACAGGAGCTTAGTTACCTTCTGTAGTTTGCTGTGGAGCAGCACAGGGTTGCCTCAGCAAATAGCTTCTCCCCCGAAAAGACCTTTAAGATCATCAGATCCAGCCTGTGACCAACACCACCACATTGGCTAGACCATGGCACTACGTGCCACATCCAGCCTTTCCTTGAACACATCCAGGGATGGTGCCTCCACCACTTCCCTGGGAAGTCCATTCCAATGTCTAATCACCCTCTCTGTGAGGAAGTACTTCCTAATATCCAACTTAAACCTCCCCTGGAGCAGCCTGAGGCTATGCCCTCTTGTTGTATACTTTCCTTGCAGTAAAAAACCCTAAGTTCCCCTTACTATACTTGTATTTTAAACAACATACTCAATCCTTAAATATGATGGTATCACTAGGGTGTGCAAAAAGGCTCCAGGAGTTGTGGAGAAGGAGGCAGGCTGTAGCACAGTGAGAAACCAGAGGCATCTCAGCACTCATCCCCACTTTGCTTCCACAGACTTTTCAAACATGAGTATTTCTTCTCCTTGCACCCCACCACCTTGCCCAGGTTGCCTCAGGCAGCAGGGTGAAATGAGGAGAGAAGGGCAGTGGCAATTTCTGCTAGGGAGCAAAGGAGAAACAAACAAAAAAATGGAACTACTGAACTAGGTATTTTCTGGTGTCTAGGCAGTGATATTCCTCAAACTGGATGAAATACCCAATGTGCTGTGTGGTTGCTATAATAACTGCTCCTATTTATGCTCTGTGTGCCTGTCCACATGCTGGTTCAACCCCTTTTGGATAAAATCAAAATGACTTCATGCTTACTAATATGTTATGATCCCAGACTGCAGGCTACATGTTGGATCTTCCTCTTGTCTTCCCTAGCTCATGCCCATTTAAACGTTAGAGATGTTTTTTTCCTTTTCTGTTTGTGAGAGTGAAATGCTTCGCTTGTCCCATTTTCATTCACTGACTAACAGTGGAGTGTAAGTGCCAGTGAACTTCCTAGGAGCCAGGAAGAAACTGGGATTCAAAGGCTTAGGAGGAGGTTTGTGACTTTCTTGAGATTTTTGTGAAAAAGTGTTCCGAACAGAGGGAAGGTGCTTATAATTTCCAAGTAGGTTTAGGCCTGAAAGAAGTGTGGCAGTTCTGGATATGTACAGTAGCTGAGCAGAAGCTCTGGAATAATACATTCTGGGCAGCTAAACCCCTTTACAAAAAAAACCCACAACAAAACAATGCTCAAAACCAGTGATGGGATGGGGAGGGTTTAGGCCAAGTTGCATTTAATTTAGGTAGTCTCTTCAGGTGCTACAAACACATACATTCTTGTGCACAGTACCACTAAATCAACTATAAAAGTCTTCTAAATTAAATTGGACTCTTGAAATGGGCTGTTTCATGAGCTGTACTTAAAAAAAATGCCACAAGTTACGTTTATCAAGCTCTGAAGTGCCCTTGCACTTGCTCATGCTCTTGCTGGCATGAGGACTGTGACAGCAGGCACTCTTCCCTTCCCTGTCACACCTCGCATGCTGATACATTTGTACATTCTGGTACTCCTGGGAGCTGGGTAGCACCAGCAGCCCCACAGCACCCCCATTTCACAGCCAGCCTTGTCTAAGGGTTAACAGGGCTGAGAGCACATCGTGCCTGTGCTGCTCACACAGAAGAGGCACATAGTAGCCTCTTCCCTGCTGGTGGGAGAGGACATGTGTGAGGCCAGTGACTAGGATCTTCCTTAAATACCACTGACAGCTTTCATCAAAGGTCAAGTACAAGTACTTGCAATGAATGCTGCTGTTGTAAAGCTGGAAATGCTGCTGATTCAAAATGTTACACTTGTACAGACCTTCAGTTTCTGTCTGCAAACTGCTTTTAACTTAATTTTTTATTTATATTGCAGCTTCTGTTGGTGTGAGATGGATGATAGGTGTTACAGAAATTGACAAGGGCTCCACCTACGGCAACAATGACAATAAGCAGAAACAAAAGTAGCATCTTCAGAGACTGCATCAATCCAAAGGGAAGCAATGTAACTTCTGAAAACTCTTAAGTGCATATCATGGTCCTTCAAGTGAGATCAGAGGACGGGTAGGATAAGCAATTGCCATGCATATCTGAATTTGTGCTCCTGTAATTTTTCTCTGGGGGTTTGGGCTGGATGACGTGCTTGAAAGATGCAGTCCTTTGTGTACTCTCCACAACAGGTTTGCATTTGGTTGCTTGGTTTGTTTTCCTATAAAGTGTCTTAAGTCTTGAAGAAAAAAAAATATTGCAGTGTGCTTGTATGATGAGACTCTACCTGGAAACTAACCAGAGGTACAGGTTTCATCTTTCTTAACTTGCTCTAAGGAATGGATAAAGTCAGAAGATTGTTACAAGATGATTAAAATTGATAGTTGTGTAGATCACATTAACAGTTTTAACAACCATAATCTGTCAGTGTTTAAATACAGTAAGATGCTCTGCTTGGCTATACCAGTATTGGACTCAAGCAGCTCTACTCAACAGGCACAACTTGCAGTAGAGTTTTTTTCTACATCTAGAACTTACTCCCTCAGTGTGTACCACATGGGCCCTTTAAAACTTCAGCCAGGTCCTGACTAAGGGCCCATTTTCTTAGATGAGAACCTTGCAGTGGCATAACCTGGAGTAGAATTTGGCCTTGTGGCCATGATTAGAGCTTAACTTACCTACTGCCAGATCTTTCCCCAGGCAATACATCGGATGGATAGCCGAAACCTGCAATTCTTTTCAGTAAATGCCATTTAGAATTTGGAAAAACTGAAGTAGTAGAATTCCTTTCAGTTGTAATCACTGACTAAAAATCTAGGCCTTCCTAACAATGGTGGACACAGAACAACTGGGTATGCTGTAACTATTTAATGCAAAGCCTGCATTAAAAGTTATGCCCCACCCCCATTTTGTGATCCATTAATCTGCTTGTCTGTCTTTTCTGATAAATTAGTACACATGGTGCTTCATCAGAATCAGCCTCAAGTGAGACAAATTATGTTTTGCTTTTCTTTTGGGGAGGGGAAGTAGGCAAGATCTAGGACAGTGGTATGGCTTAGAGTTTTTTAAAGGCTGTCTGGCCTTGCTTTGACAGCCATCTGAGCTAAATGCAGCTAGAATCAATTATAAAAAAAAAGCTTGTTTAAAAAGAAAAAAAAAAAAAAGAAGAAGAAAAAAGGAGGGGGCTTGCAACCGGCAATTATGATTGACAAAAACCCCCAAACTTAAAATGTAAAGACACTGATACTGAGAAGTGGGGATGATGAGTAGCACTGTCAGCCATGGTACATTTTCATTGCACATAAGGCTAAACCAGGATAGTCTGGGAATGAACAGCCTGTGTGTCTCTAGTGAAGAAAGTGGGCAGTCTTAGTTCTGGCAGCTGGTATTCAAAACTGTTTCTCTGAGGCCATAAAAACCAGGGACTAATTCAAGACACTATCAGTCATACCATGAAATACACATTTGCTGTTCAGTACATCAGATTATTCAGAAACTAGTCTTCTTAAAATGCAGCACCTAAAGGGCAGGTGTAGTAGTGGTTTTAGTATGAGTAGCAAGTAAAGTTTTTGAGACTGGAGGCAGTAAAAAGTATAACAAACAGGTTTTTTGTGTAGTTTATCAACACATGATAATAGAGCCCAAGATCAGAAAATACTGCTGAGCTTACAAAGCTGATCGTGTCCTGCACTCTATTTGCTAAACCAATCTTGCCAGTGGAAAACAGAGTAATATAGCCTGTAGTTCTGTCAGAAGGTCCAGCTATTCTATAGGATCCAGACCTGAAGACACTGTACGCAAGACTTTGAAAATGGGGGTAGGTGGGAAGAGAGAAAAGATCTCTCCAAGCTAGCATTTTACTATCAGCCTTACTTGACAGATACCATGGGCTTTTCTCGGGGTCATAGAATGAGCCCTGTACACAGGGGTGAGTAGTTCTGAGCAGCAAATACATATTCATGTAATGATAGAAACTAGTGCTGGCTTTTTTTTTTTTCCTTTTTAAAGAGCCACTCATTTTACATGCTGGGAGGGAGACATTTAAATTCCTTATAAATCTTGGGCCTTTCTTCTCCAATTGCATGCAGTGCCACTTCTCCCAGAGGGAAATACCAAACATATAAGTGCTTCTGAAAGTGTTCAGCCTATTTCATACCCATTTCTGTGGGACCAACCCTTAGAACAAGCTGAGGGCCAAACCCACCACCCCTGGATCCCTCCTCCTAAGTATGCCTAGAAGTCCTGGTGCACAAGGACTGCACCACGGGGCCCTTCCAGTGTTCACTGGCAACAGAGAAAGCTCAATGGTGCTTGCCAAAATTAAACTAGTCCAGTTCACTGTATTAAAAGAATGACATATGCCACTTGGAAGCAGTGTTTGCCCCTTGTCCTCACAAGCAACTGTGTTCTACAACTGCCTTAACAAAAGTAGTCTTAATGGTTGTTTATACAAAAAATAAAAGTATAAAAAGCTGAGGTGCAGTGAATGAGTTTTCTTTTGGTCAGCAATGATGAACTAGTAAGTAACAGTTTACTTTTCACCTTTATCCTAACCCTTAAAAGCTGTCTGTGGTTCTTGTTGGCCTACAAGGGCACATGAAGCAAGGCAAATGAGGACATAAACTGGGTACATATGATCTACCGCAGAGTGAAGCACTCAGCAGGCCAGGCAGGTGTGAGACTGGGGAGGGGGGGTGTGCATGTCAGGGTTTACCTCAGATCCTTCCATAGTCTGTTGCTGAAGATGACAATGTACTTCCTATTATAACTGAAAACAGAGACTTGTTCAAATTCAGCATTGCATTTTTTTTAGAGTCTAGATACACTGCACTGGTGACCTGCACAGTGAGGCTTGTGCTTTCCTAGATTGAAATGTCAGATTTCATGAAACCCCTCAATAGCTCACTCAGCTGTTAAAAGCTACCCCACAACTTTTAACAAAACAAGGATTTGTGGAATTAAGAGGAAAGACAGGACTTTAGCATGAAGCCAAATATTAAATCAAGTTCTACAGCTTTAAAACCGTTACCTATTTTAAGGTCTAAAACTGTACCAGGACTATGTAAACTTGTACTAATGCCATGCAACCCCACATACTTATTTTCAGAAGAAAAACCCTTCACCAACAAGTCCTAAAATAAACCATTTATTGAGAAAAAACTTCTTTTAAAATTTTGTTAATCAGCCTTGTGCATAACAAATCTGAAGCTTGCGAAAAACAAATAAACAAAAACCCAGTAAAAGTTCACAGTCAGTGCACTCAACAAACAGATTAAAAAACAAGGTCCAAAACGCCTGATAAACACTACAGCATTTTTCTGAACCTAAAGAGTTCAAAAATACTACATATTAACATTATAGTTCTCAATCAAATGAGAAACGGGAGAAAGAACGAAAAGGTATGGTCCATTTACAGTAGTAATGGCACTTTCACTGAAACATGCAGCTTCTTCCAACTTGCAGACAGTGTCACATGAGCAACATGTGCCAAGTAAAACATACAGGAGCAGCAGAGAAAGTGACGCTTGTCACTTGTGCAGTCTTCATAAGTTCAACTTTTATACTGTTTCTCAGCACAGTCTTTATGTAAATATTACATACAGTAGTGATTTAAAGGTATCTTGCCAGAATAAAAAAGGCCAGAGATTAACTTCATTCTTCATCTGTGCAAACCTGTGAAGAGAACAAAAGGCAATTGATTAAATTGTCTCCCTACTGTAGCACAAAGATGACAGCAGATCCATTTCTTTAGCACGTTTGTTCAACATCTTTGAAGCTTTTTCCTTTCTCTCCTGTTACGCAGATAATGAATTAAAAGTGTTTATATATAAATACCACTGTTTCCACTGTCACCATGCAACTCCCCTGTGCCTGAAGAAGAGCTCTGTTTCTGTGGTGGAAGGGAGCTGGCTACGGTTGCCCTGGTCAGAGGGATGGGTATGATGATCTCAAACACATTTAATGAATCAGAATACCAGAGAGAGCTACTTTATATGCTGGAAAATGGGACAGAACCCAGTAACCTACTGTGCTCCTATTTATTAAAAAATATAAATAAATAAAATTACACCTAATTTGTAGCTGTGAATTTGCCTATTCTTAAGCAAAGAATCAAACCATACTTCATGCAAGCACTGCAGACTGTTGTGACAACTGCCAGATAAACATTCAATATGAACTTAAAGTTAAGTATAAACTTAAAAGAAAACACACCCGTGCACTGAAGAGTTCTCAAGCATGTGCCTGCTTAACTTGTGATGGAGGGGACCCTTATCTCTACTCTGTAGCAGTCTGTGCATGTGCTCACTGAGGGTTTAGACACAGAGCTCTTCAGATCCAATTAACTACCAGTGAGTTAAAGTCTTTTTAACATAAAGATAATGTATATCAAAGTGAAAGTGTATTGCACAGTGCACACCAGTCAGATGTTTGATAGCCACATCACATATGCTTTTGAAAAGGTGCCAAACCTTGTTTTCTAGACAACATCAACTTGATAACCAGCCTCCCACTGCAATACAAAGCCCTGCAGCATAGCTACAAATGAGGAAGCCAACTTAAAGCTATCTCAAGTTCCCATCTACAGTCTTTGTAGCCAAAGCCATGAGACAAACCTTGACAAAAGGATGATCGAGGAGCTGGCTGGCTGTCCACCTCATCTTTGGGTCACTTTCCAGGCAGTGGCAGAGGAAGTCTTTGCCTTCTGGGCTCACTTTGTCAGGAATAGGAGGTTTATGACCCATCCCCACTTTATACATTATCTGGAAGTTGTGCTCATATTCATGCCAAGGCCTCTGCAAAAGTAATAGCATTGCTAAGTGCAAAGTTTTAGTGAGTAACTTGCTATCCAATAGGACATATACTGCTGTAACCCAGGAAATTAAAACCCACCCCAGCACTTGCAGACTGAAGTGTAACAGATTGCTAGGAGTGGGACCGGAATTTGCAGAGAAACTGCAAAGAACAGTTTGCACTCATTC